CACTAGGGAAACGCCAAAACCTGGATTTTATGGCACCTAATCCCCCATTGAAAAATAAACTAAAAAGAAAAAATGAAGACAAACATAGTTGAATCAATTGGGGAGTTAGAAAAGTATTTGCAAGAAAGTGTTGAAGACGACTCAAAAATGTGTAGTATTCTAGATTGGTGGAAAGTGAATAGTCCAAGATTCCCGATTCTATCATTGATGGCAAGAGATGTGTTTGTCATTCCCGTCTCAACCGTAGCTTCGGAATCCATTTTTAGCTCTAGTGGGAGGGTGTTGGATCCGTTAGGAGTTCTTTGACTCCAAAGATTGTTGAAAGTTTAATTTGTACACAATATTGGATTCGGGGTAGCATAAGTGACACAATCGATTATGAAAAAGATTGGGAAGACAATCAACAAATTGACAAAGGTAATTGTTTATCGTTCATTATTTTAGTTATTGTAAATTTAATATCTTTTGCTTTTAATACTAACAGGGCCGACACAGAGATTTTGAAGGCCCTGTACAGTTTAGTAAAAAATAAGCTCCAAAATTTTGAAGATCAAAGGGTTGCATGCTAATTTCATTTAACTTGCTTAACACATGTTTATTCATATATGATGTAAGGATCCAACAGTTCATTTGATGTTTCAATAAAGGAGTTTTTGACACCACCAATGCTTTGACCATTTAGTTTCTCATGAAAAGTCTTAAGCATATGAAATTACTCATTAATTTCGTATACAGGTTGGCCTCTAGAAGTTATACTTTTTCATTTTAATTGCAACATACATAAGTTAAAGTACCATTCAAAATAATACACATAAAAACTTGGTTCTATTTAAAACTTGTAAAAACATGAAAATTACAATTGTAATAATAAAATTAAAAACATGTTTCTAAGACCTTCTGATACTACAAATATTTTTATTCTAAGTCCTTCAAAAAAACCAATAAAAATCCAAATTAAATACTACATCAAAAAGATAATGACTTATATTATCATATACAAATCAAAAAGATAGAAAAAATAAAATTCCTTATACCTTATGGTTTTTCGAAAACTCAAGCCGAATTGGAGCTTTGGGGATATGTTTTGCTTCTGTTTTCAAAAACTTAGAGTGTTAGATCTAGTAGGACATTGCGGCTTCTGATTCAGTGAAATGAGTCTAAATGGATTTGATTCTAGTGAAGAAAGAAGTAAGAGAAAAGAAACTCAAAGCTTCTAATTTTAGGAATCAAACCCACAATAAAGTCAAGAGTAAATTTACAGTTCAATAGATCCTGATTTTGGAGAAGAAAGAAGTAAGAACAAAAACATCAAAACCCCAATATGATTTTAAACAGAAAATAGAATTGTTACATACTTTTGTCGATGAGTGTAGACCCTTCAATAGTAGGCATGCGTTCAAGAATCGAAGCATTTTTCCCCTCGATTTTTTGATTTGCTGCTTGTGTGCATCGGTCTCTTCTATTTCCAGGAATATGTAAGTAATAAAGTTAACCTAATACCAACAAGGAAAAAAAATTGGGCCCTTATGTTTTGGTGGGCCCTATTCTTAACCACTAGTTGAACTCCTATAAGGCCGACCTTGAATACTAACATTTTTTGATTTTTTTTTACATAGAATTGGGCAAGATGAAGTAGTGAAGGTACAAAAAGACGAGTATATTTATGAATGTCTTTTGAAACTTGACATATTATTATTTTCATACTATGTAATGGTTTTCTATGTTTTCTAGATTTAAGACGTGAGTTTTTTGGTAAATGCAAAATACATGCATATACATTGATATCAAGTAATTTAAATGGTAAACTTTGGTTGTAATTTTTTTTAACATCTTATTATATTTAATTAAATTGTTAAACGAATACTTGATATCTCAAATATTATTGAGTAAAAAATCTCAATGTTCAAAGTTTAGCACAAGATACTTATTTCATTACATTTATTGTTAGGTGTCATTATAAGGGAAATCTCCAATAAAATCCTAAAATTTTAGTCCGGTTTATGTTTTAGTCATAAACTAATTTTTGTTTACGAAAAAATCCTAAAAACCGGCAAAAGTTTGCATTTTGACCTTTTTTTGACTGGTTGGAACCAGTAACAAATTAATTTAGGACTATTTCATAGATTGACCCAAAATATTGGGACTTTTCTGCAAAAACAAAAAATATTAGGGTTTTTCTGCAAACAAAAACCTTATTATTATTATATTGAAAATATAAATAAGTATACTATTTTTTAAATTTGTTATTATTAATATTATTAATAATACATATAAATAGATTTAAATTAAAAAAATATTAAAGATATTTTATAAAGGTGAAGGTTGAGCGGATGGTAATGCTTTAAGCTTTGTAATCATGAATGTCTGTTTGTATATTCTAACTTTGTATATGGTCATTTCACATTTGTTATTATTGTTTTTAATTCAGAATATTAACATTTAACAATTTAAAACAAGCTACTGATTTTTCAAATTGTTTACAAATAGTGAGCATGTGATATGCATGTATGCCTTGTGTGTAAGTATTTTTGAATTACCAACAAGTGTGTTGCTCTTTTTCATTATTTTATCCTTGTGGTTTTTTTGGAAACATAGGAGATATAGTGTGATAAAGCAAAATAAATCATATTACTTTCTATTAAATAAGATATTTTAATTAATATTTTCGAATTTTGATATGGGCCACCAGTGTAAATATTTATTGTGGATCTGTTGGATTTGAAAAGAAATCATTCCACCTTAAGAAATTTTATATACAAAGTGAGAAATCCTTTTATCTTAAACTATTTATACATAATTTTACAAATAGGCAACTTCTTTTAAATTGTTAAGTGTTAATATTTTGAATTGAAAACAATAATAAGAAATGTGAAATGATCATATACAAAGTGAGGACATACAAGCATTGATTTCAATGCTTAAAGCATTACCGTCACCACCACCTTCACCTTTAAATAATTTCTTTAATATGTTTTTATTTAAGTGTATTTATATATATTATTAAAAATATTAATAATAATGAATTTAAAAATTAGTATACTTGTTTATAATAATAATAATAATAATAATAATAATAATAATAATAATAATAAGGTTTTTGTTTGCAGAAAAGTCATAATATTTTTTTTTGCAGAAAAAATCCAAATATTTTAGGTCATTTTGTGAAATAGTCCCAATATTTTAGGTTAGTTTATGAAATAGTCCCAAATTAATTTTTTACCGGCTCCAACTGGTCAAAAGGGGTCAAAATGCATACTTTTGCCGGTTTTTAGGACTCTTTCGTAAACAAAAATTAGTTTATGACTAAAACGTAAACCGGACCAAAATTTTAGGACTTTATTGGAGATTTTCCCATTAAAAAGTAAAAAAAAATAAAAAAAATCGGGTAATACCCGAATTACCCTTACCCGACCCATTACCCGAATTTAATTTGGGTAGGGTAACAGGTAATTTTTTTATATGAAAAACCCAAATTACCCGAAACCCGAAAATTTTACCCGATCAACACCTCTACTATCAAGACGGCTAAGAGAGGTTTAGAGGCTGAAAGAGTGAGCCACAATGCCCTATAATGATGCTTAACAAACCCTAAAAATTTGGGTCTTATCCAGACACAGGTACACCCAACGTACATGATTGTACGCCCATCGTACCAGGGCATGCCCTAATACGCACGACGTTCTCAAATGTACCCCTAACGTACCACTCAACTTCACAAAAATTACCAATCTGGCTCTATGGCTAGGTCCAAACCAATATCAAGGGACAAAAACGACTTATTAAAATACCAAGGAAGGATTTGAAGAATACATGAAATCAGGAATGTTACAGACTCTTTGGAAGTGCACATCGACACCGAAGTAGATACCCATGGTTGAAGAAAAAAAATGGAGGAAGGAAATGGATGGAGTAAACGAGGTGATGATGAAGTGTTGTTGGTATCTCGTTAAAAAATAAAAACTCTAACATCATTTATGGTAAACATTTTAAATGTGGTGGCGAAGAAGTTACCGGATGACCCCTTTATTTCTTCCGAAATGACCAATTAGATCCAACAAAAACAACTTTATTCTCTAGTAAATACAAGAAAAAACTTATGGGACTCTCTGAGCAAATACATAGTATTAAAATATGTTACCTCTAAAATCAATAAAACTATAAATTTTTTTTAGGGTGAAGCCTTATTCGATATTCTATTATTCTCCTTGAGAATGATATGAACCTCTTTTTGGTAGATGTACTTCAGCGTTTCCGTCTAAACTTCCATCTCTGCCCTTCTCTTCAGTACCTTCGCTCCGGGTCCGGGTCCGCTGTCGCCACCGCCGCGGCTGCCCTCAACCGGTTCGAATTGGGGATATACAGGTATAAACTCTTCCGAATTGCACAAATCAGTTCTTAGTTCCTACACACACTCTCGGCTAAACCCCGATAAGAGTTTACTCGTGCTTGATTTTTTTCGTTTTACATGTGTATCATATACTCCTATTATACAAGTGAATGCTTATTTTCGAATATTTTCATGGAATTAAGGAAAGTTCAAAGCTTGAACGCATTGCGTTTGCTTCCGTGAAATCTTAATTTTGTAATCCGTTCGTTACGCGATTAGAATCTACTTTTCAGAACTTGCAAAGAGTAAATTATGTCATTTTACGTTATATTTTGGGAACAATAAAAGTTCACTAGTAAGATGCCAGTGGTGGAGTAGAGCAAGCAATCGTAATTAGACATACATAAACCCCAATCTGCTGGATCGAGTATTTCAATCTTTTTGAATAGTTCATCTATATGGTAATCGTGTGAAAATACGAAGTTAAAATTATCTGACCAATCAAACCCTAGAATTGAAAACTGAAAACAAAACTGGCTTTCAATCCTGAATATTTTAAGAATCGTTGGTCATTGACATCTCATTTCTAGATTATGCGCAGAAACTTCAACATCTTACACATATGTGTTTGGGCATTAATGCAGGATTTAGCGAGTAAGGTGAGCTTTGAATCATGCAAACAGCTGCACATCATTCCATAACCTGTTACTTACCTAGCAGGTATCACTCTACAAAAACATGGATGAAAATTAGAAACCCAAACCAAATTCAAACCCAACTTTCCAAAAGACCTAATTTGATTATTGGAGCTCAAAATGGTCAGAAGTTCGGATCTTTTATCAGACCCACATTGTTTCTTGACCCAAAAACCAAGATTTTTGCAATCCCAGATGATGGCCACCTTTCATCTGTCTGTGTTTCAGAAGACAACAAAAACCCAAACCCAAACCAAGAACCCGATCCGGAACCATTATTCAGCAAATGGTCACCTCCAAGATACCTATGGAGAGGACTATCCGTATTCATCTTGGCGGGTCAAGTAATAATCCGTATCCTGAAAGGCAAAATCCACTGGATAAACACCCTCCAACAGCTAGAAAGAGTGGGTCCAAAATCAGTAGGTGTGTGTCTGTTAACCTCAGCATTTGTAGGCATGGCCTTCACAATCCAATTTGTTCGCGAGTTCACCCGGTTAGGACTCAACCGGGCCGTGGGTGGGGTCCTAGCCCTAGCCTTCACGCGGGAGTTATCCCCCGTGATCACCTCCATCATAGTGGCGGGCCGTATCGGGTCGGCATTTGCTGCTGAATTAGGAACAATGCAAGTGTCTGAACAGATTGATACATTAAGGGTTTTAGACACTGACCCTGTTGACTATTTGGTTACCCCTCGAGTGATTGCTTCTTGTGTGGCTTTACCCTTTTTGACCCTCATTTGTTTCACTGTTGGGATGGCTTCTAGTGCGATTTTGGCTGATGGGGTTTATGGGATTAGTATTAATATTATATTGGATTCGGCTCAAAGGGCACTTAGGTCATGGGATATAATTAGTGCCATGATTAAGAGTCAGGTTTTTGGAGGGATTATATCTATTGTCAGCTGTGCTTGGGGGGTTACTACTTTGGGTGGTGCTAAAGGTGTTGGTGAATCCACTACTTCTGCTGTTGTTATTTCTCTTGTTGGGATTTTTATAGCCGATTTTCTGCTATCATATTGGTTTTTTCAGGGAGCTGGTGATTCCCTCAAGAATTTGTAATCTTTTAAAATTTTATGTAATGGATTCAGTTGAGATATCACTTAATCTGATAAGGTCTATACGGGTATTTCTTTTTTACTTGGAGCATTTGCAATGCATGAAATTCTGTTTGATGACCTCTGAATGAAACTATTCAGAGGTCAACTCTGAATCGGTCAACATCCAACACACTGTTTGAATTGGAAAAAGAGAGGGCCAATATAATGATATGAATAAAGATGTCTTTTTTCTTCTTCTAATGTAATGAGTTTGGGTTTGAAGTGTTGATGAACTTTTGATTATGTATTTGAGTATAATAATATAGTTTAAAACAAGTAGTTGAAGAGTAGAATCCAACCTAGGAAGCGTGGCAACATGAGGAAAGTTTGTGTCAAAGAGCGTTTGAGGGATCACAATGTAAAGATATAAGTTTGTATGATTTAGGATTTTAATTATCAAACAACATTTTTACATAAGAATATCTCGTTATAGATTATAATTCCATCTCATTATCTCGCATTTGTCTATGTATATTTACAAATGACATGTGACATGCCATACAATTAATGAAATTTGATCTTTGAATCTATGAAAAATGTCACTAAATATAACCCATTTTCACATATGTTTTACGAAGGTCATTCAGCTTTTTACATGTTTAAAAATTTTCCACTGCTGTGAAATTTTGATTTATTAATCAAAAATGTTGAGAAAGCATTCTTGAATAATAATCAAAATTTACAAATATTCATCTACTTCAACTTAAACTTCTTTTAAGGAGTTTAAGCAATTGAATTATAACTTTGTTCCTATTTTATAAATATTTTGATTTTTTTAACCAAACACCGGTATACCTGATGATATACAATTATACACTAATTTTATCTAAAAAATTAGATCCTTGTCTTAATAATAATTTGTATAAAAAAAGTATTTGATACATTTTTTTTTTTCAAAATTAATCAGGCAACAATGGACATGGACCATCTTTAATTTTTAACTATTTTGACACACACTTGAGTCTTGAGTTACTTACATTTTACAAACGAATTACACGCTGTAAATTAGGATAACGGGTACGACGTCGTTGTGATCAGCAGGCTTTACATTCTTCTTCTCTCATAATTTTCTATCGCAAGCGTCAGATCGCGTCTGAGCCCTAGCAGTAACCAAGCGGAGCAGCTGCGTTTCATCCTTGAAATCGTTTCAATCCACCCTTCGGCCGTCGCTCTTATGGCTCGATTTCTATCGAGATCCACTCGCCAGGTATTCATTCCTCCCGATGCTCATGAAATCCGTCGTAGACTTTCGTTTCGCACATCATGGATCGGCGTTTTGATTTTGTACTTTGAAGATTCTTTAGATTTATGATAACATCTATTATTCTGATGAACCATCTGAAATGTAGCTTACTGTTTGGATGTAATTTTACTGCCTGTATGCTATCCATAAGAGTTTTGTTTGACGGTTCCTTATCATTGTGGATGGATTGGATATAAGACTTTGGAAATATATAAGAATAAAATTAGCTGCTTGGCTAGAAACACAGGAGGATGAATCAAGTACGTTGGATATTTGGTTTCTTTTAGTCTTAGGATTATGGCTCCATTTATATGACTAAAACTATAGTAGGTTTTGGTTTTGGATGTCTGTTGGTTGTTATTTAAGCGTTTTTATATTATATTGATGAATCTTTACGCCCGTCTATATATATTTATTCAGATTTTACTTTCACGAGCATATGAACATGGTAAAAATGGGATCATGATTGATATAGAATTTGTTGCAAATTAGGTTATATGTGTCCAGTGGCTTGTCTCAAAAAGAAATGGTTAGTCATTAGTGTTTATAAAGGGCTGTTTGTATATGGAATAAAGTGGAAGAAGTACAAATATCCCTCATCAATTTGCTTTTTAAGAGCTTGAGCAGAATGATTTTTCTCAACTCCAGTGACACTTTTGCTTTCAGAGATCATTCATCTTAAATAGGTTAACAGGCTTATCAAATTCATATGCTACTTAATGTAGTGAGATGTTAACTTCGTGCAGGGCATGTTACAAGTGTCCAAGATTTGATTTGTGGTCTAGTTTAGATGAATGTCAAAGTCAACAGGGATTGATTTTCAAACATTTAGAAGTTTCTATCTGGACCTTCGTAACATGTTTAATATCTATAAGATGACATATTTTCAATTGCACATGATGATCCCATATAAGAATAATGATCCACTGATCCTCTAAAACAGAAAGTCAACTGATTTAAGAAATTTGTTCCACTCATGTTGTTGACAAGAAAATTGGTGCAAGCTCTTTGTCTTTCCATCAGACTTGTTCTTGGATTTTAGAAAATGCAGTTCCTCCTTTACCCAAATTCGCTCATCCCCTTGTTTCCAAACTCTCATGAACACAGTGTCAAACAGATAGAGTCAGGGTTAGTAGGTTATTTTTTCTTTAAACTATATTGTGAGGAGTTGAAATATTTATTTATACTGTATGATGGGTGAATTCTTGAATGTTTGGAGCACATGGTAGGTAGCAGATAAATTTGATAGTAATTTCTTCCCTTATATACCCCTGCCGGCACTAATACCCTTTTAGGAAATTAAAAAGAAATTGTTATCTAATATTCAACCTATAAACTCAGAATTATGTTGTGGATTTTTGGCATTATGCAGCTAATTGGCAGCCAATACGTTCTGCAACCACAGCAACATGTAGTCCCAGTTCGCTCCTTTGCCAAAGAGGCTTCCCCTAAAGCTCTTAAGGGTGATGGTAAGTTGTCTTGTGTCTTTATGTTTTTGTTTTGTCAGACTTTCTCATATTAAACTCTAGTCCCTTTAGCTCATTTATGTTACATAAAGATCTTAACTTGTTTCTCTATCATGATACTAATGGCAAGATTTGTTGTGCATGCATCGGTAGAAATGTTGAAGGGTATATTTCTTGATGTGAAGAAGAAATTTGAAACAGCTGTTGGAGTTCTTCGCAAAGAGAAAATTACTATTGATCCTGAAGACCCTGCTGCAGTTGATCAGTATGCCAAAGTCATGAAGACTGTAAGGGAAAAGTAAGCACTCAACAGTTATCATGCCTTTTTTCCTGGCAACATTTTTTTCATGCTTTTCATGCATATGCAATTAATGTTTTTTTAAAAAAAAAAAAAAAAAACCTGTTGGTTGATTGCAATTTGACTTTTATGTGAACAGGGCAGACCTGTTTTCAGAGTCACAGAGGATCCAATTCACCATCAAGTCAAGAACTGATGGAATCCAGGATGCTAGGTCTTATCTGTTGGTTTTGAAGGATATTCGTCTCAAGTATGTATTTTTTATTATTATTGATTTTTGTAATTGTTGAAAGCATTTTGAGTTTTGGATTGCACATGGTGACATGTATGTTGAATTGTTTGGAATGAAAATGTTAAATTTTGCAGGAGAGGGCTTAGTGATGAACTAGGTGCAGAGGGTATGATGATGGATGCACTTGAGAAAGTGGAGAAGGAAATTAAGAAGCCACTTATGAGGAATGACAAAAAGGGAATGGCTCTCCTCACTGAAGAATTCAACAAGATCAACCAAAAGTAAAAACCCATTTCATTGTAAAAGTTTGTTGTTATGTAAAGTAGCTGATTTTTTTTTTAATTTTTTAATTTTTGTAGGCTTGGAATACGGAAGGAAGACTTGCCAAAATACGAGGAACAATTGGAGAAAAAGATTGCCAAGGCACAACTGGAAGAGCTGAAGAAGGAAGCTCTTGAAGCTATGGAAACACAGAAGAAAAGGTATTCATCCCCTTTTTATAAAATTAACAACAATTGAAAAAAAAAAAAAAAAAAAAACAATGGCTGAGGGCAAATTTGTAAATAAATAAATAAATTAAAATCTATGTTTGGGTTGCAGGGAGGAGTTTGCTGATGAGGAAATGCCGGACGTGAAGTCTCTGGACATCCGGAACATGCTTTGATTTGAAAAGCATTCATTCGGGTTTGGTTTTTAATAATATAATCTGCTCATTTTGATGTGAGGCATTCAAGTTTTATGAAGATGATGATGATGATGATGATGATGATGATTATATCCTCTGTGCTGTTGTGTCTACCCTATCAAAAGTAGTTGCCTCCAATCATGAATAAATGTTTGATTTTTGGAACTCAAAATTCTCGTCCCCAACTTATTTAAATGTTGTTTTTTATATATATAAAAACTCAACGGCTTCAAGATTTTTCTTCCAATCGGTTTTACGGGCCTCATATATATTGAGGCATGGAAATATGATTATTGAAAAGGGCTTGTGTCATTTTTCTTTGGGTGTCCTCATCCATTGGTTTTAGGGTTGATTTACTCAATAGTGTTACTGTCTATGTCTGATATTGGCGTTAATGATTCTTCTCACCTTTTTTAATCATCATACTTTTAATATGTGCACCTAAGCAAGAAGTGATAAAGAACGAATGGGGGAGGGAGTCCATCCCTCTCAATCCACATGACAGCAATATTATTTATTTATTTTTGTTTCACTTCTACCCTTGCAACAACCCTTGAAAATCCCTTAAAATGATAATTTTCTAAAATTAAATAAATAAAAGTAGAAAAAATTTAACATTTCATTAAAAAAGGTAAACTACTACAATAAACAATAAAACGGCATAAGAAAAAACAGCATATCTTTCTCATATTGTTTTTCCTTAAGCGCTCATACGTTCTTTTGCTTGGTAGCTTCCATGATATCTAATTTTTCCTCTCAATATCACTTTCTCTAATCCGCATATGCTTTGTATAGATTGGCAATGCCAATGATCTCGGTGATGAGTCAATTATTTCAAATTCTCCGCATAGAATTACGATGCTTTGGGAGTGAAATATTGGAATTGGGTAGGAATTGATTGTGAGTAGTGGAATTGTGAGGCTTACTTAGATAGCTAAAATTAGATGTATGCTTGTTGCTTAGGTAGTTGGTTATATTGTGGTTGATATGGTAAGAATTAGAAATAAAAAGTGAGATTTGGGTTTTGGGATGGAATATGATAAATCTTGCAAACTGCTTTGGTTTCATTATGCCAATTATGTCTTTGGCTTGAATCGATTTTTTTTTGGATTTGTTGCGATTAGAATCCATTTGAATGGAATTTGAGAAAGTTGGAATAAAATATGCAAGGTGTAGTTTTTGAAGTGGTTGAAGTTGATATTTAGAGTCGGTAAAAAGGGATTTATTTTTTGTTTTTTGAAAATTAGTCAGTTGTTCAATGTGTGTGTGTGTGTGAGAGAGAGAGAGGTTTTGGCAACATGTGGGTAATTTGTGAGTCTTGCTTTTTGATGGTATCCTTACTACTTAGAGTAGTGTTGGCGACGGTAACGCTTGCAGCCCGAAGTCATCAACTTTGAGCCACAAGCAAATCTAATGAAGATCCCGGGATAGCCCGAGATGCCTCTAAATTTTTTTCCAATAGTGTAATTTTTTTTGGAAAATTTCGCTTTACATATTAAGTGATAAAAATCTTCCAAAAATCATTGATAAATCAAAAGAACCATTGACAAAATCAAATCCGCATGAAATTAGGAAACTAATTAAGTTAAGAAACTATCTCTTAAATTCTAAAATGTAAAACCAAAAATCTAATTAGAGATACAAAATTCTTACCCCAAAGATCTGGGTTGATAAGTCATCCCATGATATAGCGTCGATCGCATCATCACCCAATCGCCGGTGCAAACTTAGCTTGGAACCTGGTCAAGAAGTCATCCCATGACATAACATCGACCACATCATCACCCAACTCACTACCGATCTCCCCCCACCAATCACGTGCCTGATCCTTCAACAGGTAGGAAGCATATCTGACCTTCGACTCCTCAGGGCAGAAACTCGTCCTGAACGCGTTAGTCATATCTGTTAACCACCTCCTACTGACAATAGGGTCCCTCTCCCCATGGAACGCAGGAGCTCCACAAGCACGAAACTCTCGGAAAGTCATTGTGCGAGCTCCCGTGATAGCCATAATCTCCGCACAGAATGCGCCAAGCACTCGTCCACTATCTCCGAAACACCGCGAGAGATCTTCGATGAAATGAACTCCCGCAACTGCTTGCTAATTGGCTCAGTACTTGCACCTGAGCTGGAACCCGAACATGAACCATCTCCTTGGGAGCTCATCTCTAAACTGAAATACAATCAAGCCAACAATTAGAACATACCCAATAATCCACCTCTCATATGCTTCTTAGATTCTATAAGACTCTCACCGATTCGAGTATGGATCTTGTGCTTTCAATGGTACGAGCCCAATACTACCTTCCAAACCTATCCATACTTCCGTAAGCAATCCTCCTGAATCCTCTAAGTCATTTCTTCAAACCATTATGCCAGTACTCATTGAACCATACTACTAATCCAATGCAGCATATCCTAGGCTTTCCTAGGTTCCCGGACCCATCCAGTCCTCAACTACTGAAGGATTCCCATTAATGTCAACTAGCTACCTTATTAATATAGCCACATGAAATAGGGATCAGATAATCCTTCGAGTAAAAGACTCAACTCTAGAACGATTGGACTCAAACAAGAGCTGCACCCATACAAATAGTGAGGAGACTCACCTCGATTGTAGAAGCTTCCTGGAAGAATCCTTAGCTGCTTCCCCACTGACTTCCCGAGCTATCAATACTAGAACCAGATAAAATCTTAGTTAATAGGCCAAAACCCTCAAGTTTAGCCCAAGCTCAAACTTGGTCAAAATTCAACAATAAACGGAAGTCAAAGTCAAGAAGTTAAACTTCAGGTTGAGTACGCTCATCATACTCAGCTCGTACGCATGTCATACTTACCAACCAGAATCGGGACCCCTTCCAGTACACACAGCGTACTCGAAGGTATGCCTGATGTACCTGGACAAATGGCAATTTCCATTAAGTGCTTAATCTCTTAATCCTTTCCAACACTTAGATCTAGTCCCACAACATCATTCTAAGTCATAAAGTTTCCACCTTTATGACTTTCCATGTCTAGAAAAGGTCCACAAGCTAAAACCTTAACTTATCAATCCATTAAGACATCATGACACTCTCATGGAAGGTATATAAGGATCAATATTACATTTTTATGGATCCTAAAAGCTCCATAATGGATAAAGTTTCCAACTTTATCCATTAGCATGATCCAAACCACCAAGATCTAGCCTTTAAGCATCAAATGGGACCAAAAGTGCATCTTTTTCAACTTAATCCATTAAGTCCAAGTCTCCAACCTTCAGATCTGAATCACAATGATGTTTAGATGGATAAAGTTTCCAACTTTATCCATACAAGGTCACAAACTTTCAAGATCTAAACTTTATGCACTAAAATGACTAAAAGCTCATAACATCCAAAACTAGCTAGATCTAACAAATGCATAATTAAGATATAAACTTTATACCTCTAGAAGATAGATCAAGGTGAACAAAGTCCAGATCTACAAGCTCCAATGCAACCAACACTTCTACAAGAAGTTTCTTCTTCTCCGAAGTGCACCATGCATACTCCAAAATCACCTTCTTTTAGCTCGAAAGGCTCATCTAAGGTAAGGGTTTCATGAAAGGGGTGCTTGAGGGGTGGAGGCTGAGAATGGAGTGGTTTTGGGGGAGTTAAGGAGCTTAAATAGGGCTTAAACCACAAATATAGGTTTGGGCAATGATTGCATACACCCAACGTACTCGCCCAACGTACATCTCTTTGTACGCCCAACATACTCAGCTTGGCCCAAAACCACCCAAACTTCAAACGGTCATATAGATCCCAAAATCATCCTATATTTTCTATCACATGAGAATATGAGAACGAGGTTAAGAGGAGAAATGAGAAAATAATGTATTATGAAGTATTAATAATTAATACCCAAATTATGAGCAACTAAAGGTTATTAATATGTTGATTTAGGTGGTTCGTGTTGCTGTTTTTTTCGAGGATGCAAGTGTGTGTTTGTTCAACTTTTGACTCAGATGAATCTCCTCACTATACTATGTTGGGCACTAGGTGTTATTGTATGTTTGTTTGTATTTGTGACTTGCATGAAAGACCATGGTTAGAGCATGATAGGAAAGTCTGCATGTGGGCTATAGCAACGGTAGTGACTATAAGACTATGGTTGGACCATAACATTCACAAGGATAAAATAGGTCGTTGGTTGAAATATATTGATGGGTTGGGCCCATTGGTTGATATAAGTCGTTGTAGGGGTGATTGTAAGACTACGATTTGGCTTGTAGCATTCACTTGGGTTGAAACGAACCTATTGGCTGAAATAAGTTATTGCAGATATGTGTGTTATGATATGTGGTATGTGGTATTCGGGGGAACTTGCTAAGCTTCGTGCTTATGGTTTTAAGTTTAATTTGTTTCAGGTTTTCTAGTAATGAAAAAAGGGAGCGGTCAAATTGTATCGCATCCATTGGAGATTTCCACACTTCAATAACTTTTATGTTTATACTCTAATTAATGTTTTGAAACAAATGGTTTATTTAGATCTTTGAAGTTGGAATCGGAACAAGTGTTTTTAATAATAAATGAAAGTTTTACTCTTTATTTTGGGGATGTTATATCCCTAGCTGTATTGGAATCATAATAGAATAAATGAATCATAACTTATGAGTTAGATTAACATTATTATGGTGTGATGTCATGTTTTATAGGATAAAAAGGAAATGTCTAAGTATTAAGAATAATGATGGATCATTATAAACAAATTGGATGTTACTTGAGAGTAATTTAGTGATCATTTGGAAGCTAGGTTGCTATGTATGAGTTCATGTCTCATTTGATGTTGTTGTTATTAGAAGTAAAAGTTCAGTTATAATCATACAAACTTTTCATTCTTTTGTTCAAAACATATACGTATAATATGCAAAATAGTTCTCATTTTCATCTACATTATTTTATGGACATATTTGAAATAATAAAGTTTTAGTTTTGGAATTAAGAGCTTAATAAGCGACTTAATTGATCACTCAAGGGTTTTTGACACATCTATTATTACTTATATGTAACTCTTGAAGTTATCAAACCATTATAGAATGTAATTGAAGTGTAAGATGCTACAAGGTTTTCAAGATGAATTACTAGGAGTACATATACATATATCTATTTTGTTGTTTTGATTGATTTAATCTATGTCACACCCCTGAACCGGGATGGCGGAAACGTCCGGGGGCGGGTGACTTCATCTTGTAATATCATAACAATTGAATATGAATGAAACATAGCAATCACAATCATATATTAAGGATACCAACATGTATTGTTTACAACATTAAATTTGTTCATGAAAATACATCCAAAATAACATAATGTATGATAATCCAAAAATACAACAAATATCCAATGTCCACGGCTGAGAAAACTTGCTCAATGCGTTCCTGA